CCATCCCACTTTCTTGCCGCTTTCTTGCCACCAGTGTGATAACGTCCACTGACTCTGTTGTACAAGGGACTCCAATCTATATTTCCCAATGGGTATTTTTCCCTATATGTTATACAACAGGAAAACTCACCACATACATGCATGCATACACATACACACACATAACGTTCAGGGATAGATGGCAAGGTTTAAGCCTTCCCATATCTATCTTCTCAGATCTTACTGCAATCAGCACTAAGACCTTTCCCTGTTACACAATTATACCACTGTGATTCCACACTTTAACTGCCATAGGTCCATCCTATGAAATCCTAAGAATTGTAATTTAGAGAGGGGTATTCTCAGTGAGAGAGTTCTAGGGCCCACCCAAACTATAAACCCCAGATTTCAATAGGTTGAAAGACCCTGCCTCAGCTATTTATCTTCTTTTTTTCAGGACTAGTAACCTTCTGTAGCTGTTAACAACGATTCTGCTACTGCTGTCTTTCGTACCCCTTATTTCAGGGAAGGAAGGTGTGTGTCCCTCCAGCTGTTGTTTGACTGCAACTCCCAGCAGCTCTGGCCAGCACAACCAATGGAGAGGAAAGCTTTGCAATAGCTGGAGGGCCAGACAATTCCCAGCACTGCCTTATTTCATGAGTGAGCAAGATAAAAGATAGTTGAGCAGTCCAGAGGGGGAAAATACCCATTGGAGTGGAATAAGAAAAAGGAAGCAGCATTTTCTCTGTTTTCTGCTGAAATTATTCCAGTGTCTTTCCTTTTTCTTCTTCCTTGGTGTCATTGTGTCCTGCTTTGCTTCTTGTTCAGAACTGAATAAGCAATGGAATGGTGACTTTGAGGCCTTCAACACTTCCTCTCCTCTGCCATTCATCTGCAAACTACACAGATATTTGCTTTTAATCATTTGAATTACTTTCACGCCCCTCTTCCTCTGTATATTGAAAGTCTGAGGTTGGACCAGGGAAAAGGGAGAGAGAGGATGATAAAGTCGAAACTGATTCTTGACCTTTGTCCTCTGTTTAGATAGAAGAGTGGGTGAAAAGGTCAAGGAAAACAATTATGAGTTTTCTTTCCCCCCCCCCCCTTGAATTGCCTACCAAGTAAACCCTTGCAGGAGATTTAAAAGGGTTTTTTCATCTCCCTCTGGACTGCATGTGTTACCTTGACTTTTATGGGGAGGTTCTAATCATATTTCCTGGCATGATGACAGGCTTCTACCATTTTTCTTCATGCAACATCTGATGGTAAAAAAATGTATTTTAAAACTGTTAGTTGGAATGGTGAGGAAGAAACTCCCAGGGTATTTTATCTTGCATTGCTTTCTGCATTTACTGTAAGGACATTAGCTTATTCATTATGAACTCTCAGTTCCTGTTACTATTCAGGGGTTAACATGTGCTCCACATTAAATACAAAGATTGCAATTAAATTTGCTTATTTTTTTTATTCTGAAAAATGCACATGGAGTTCCAGCTTGGATAGGGTCATCCACACACAGCTGCAGAGTTTAAACCCCCACCTTCCAATGTTTTCTATCTGGCAGAGAAAATCACAATGAATCTACCATCCCACTTTTTCAGCTGCTTTTAAAATGTCCCAGTTTCTTTCTGCTCCTTCCACTTTCCTCATTTGTCCTCAGCTTCCTTCAGTTGCTGCAAACTACATTTCAGAAGGGGGGAAAAGAGAGAAGGGGAAAGAAGCTTATACTTCCCAGTAGGCTGAGGGGGAAAACCAAACTGCTGTAGCCCTTCTAGCTTATGTGTTCTTCCTTATTAATAATTTTGCCATCTTAACCATAGTCTGAATTTCCTTGGCTACACGTGTCTCAATTTTCATTTGTGAAATAATGGAGGGTATATACATCTTCTCCTAAATGATTTCCTACATTTCAACTCCCCTCCCTCACATGTGGAGAGAATGAAGCAAAACTATTACAGCATTTCATAAGTAAAGAATCAATATTCTGCAGAAGAGTGAGACTTTCTTGCAATGTGTGACAGTGGACTGTAGTCATAGGTTGTTGTGTGCCTTCAAGTTGTTTCCAACTTATGACAACCCTAAGGCAAACCTATCATGGGGTTTTGTTTTGTTTTTTGGCAAATTTGTTTGAAGGAAGTTTGCCATTGCCTTCCCCTGAGGCTGAGAGCATGTGACTTTGCCAAAGTCACCAAGTAATGTGGTGATGGAGTTTATCACACAGGGGCAAACTGCAAAATCCTGTGCAGAAACAGGATTTAAAAACTAGGGAAAAAACTCACAAAAGTGGGTAGTTTTTCTCACACAACAGGATTGATGTGGCATAAACCCAAACAGAAAGTAGACAAAACCCACCCCTTTTTACTTTCATGATTTTCTGAAAATAAAAAGGAACAGGTTTTGTCTAGTTTCCCTTTGGGTTAATATCGCGTTAATTCTCATTAACACTAACGTCATCTGAAAAACAACTCAGGTTTTTTTCTACTTTCTGTTCGTGTTAACCCCGTACGTCATCTGAAAAACTACCTGCTTTTGCAGGGTTTTTTTCCAGCTTAAATCCAGTTTCTGCACAGGATCTGTCCATGTGATAAACTCCTAAGACAGGACTTGAATCCTGGTCTCCAGAGTCATAATCCAGCATTCAAACCACTACACCACGCTGGCTTACAATAGCTCTATTTGTTCTAACTAAGGGCTTGTCTACACTGGCCAAAAATGCCAGAATCACCCCATATCCAGTATAATGAATCCTCATGATGCACACAGTGAATCCACTTCTTTAAAACATTAATCCAGTTTAACAGAAAACACTGTGTACTCCAGAGTTTCCAGGAACTCCAGACTGAACCTGAGTGCATTTGATATGAAGACGTTTGGATTGGGCTGGATCCAGAGCAATCCAGTTTTCCACACATCTACACACCCACCACTTTGTGCCCATTGACTGATCTCCCAGGTATCACCACCACCGCTATAGCCTCACCAGCCTCTGCTAATACCCCAGAGGACAGGATGAAAATTCAAAATGACTTCAATAGATTAGAAAGCTGGGCCAAACTGTCATCATTGCTTCTGCTGGAGTCAGAACAGGCCATCCTGCCATGTGATGAACAAGGAGTCAGTGGGAACAATGTAGTGTCACCCAGCAGCCCATCTGGACACATCTGGCCAGCACTGTGTCAACCAATGGCCACTCCGGAGCAAAATATTCCAGATTCAGGGGGCCAGAGTAGACACACCCCAACTTAACTCCTACTGATTGTCATAGGTTTGCTCTCACTGAACCTGGATTCAACCCTTCACACACATTTACAGTACAATCCTAATGATCTTTAATTAATATGCATGTCTGGTTTGGTTTTTTTTATCATAGAGTTGGAAGAGACCACAAGGGCCATCCAGTCAAACCCCCATGCCATGCAGGAACTCTCAAAGCATACCTGATGGACCTTACATTTCTCCATGTTGAAATTCATTTTGTTAGCTTTGGCCCAGCTTTCTAATCTATTGAAGTCATTTTGAATTTTCATCCTGTCCTCTGGGGTATTAGCTAATCCTCCTAATTTGGTGTCATCTGCAAATCTGATAAGTATGCCTCCTTTAATCTAAGACATTGATAAAGATGTTGAATAGCACTGGGCCTAGGACAGAACCCTGTGGCACCCCACTGGTCACTTTTCTCCAGGATGAAGAGGAGCCATTGCTGAGCACCCTTTGGGTTTGGCCAGTCAACCAAGCACAAATCCTTGTAACAGTTACCTTGTCTAGCCCACATTTTACTAGCTTGTTTCCCAGAATGTCAAAGGCCTTACAGAAATCAAGATATGCTATATCCCTTCATCTACCAAGCTGGTAATTCTGTCAAAAAAAGAGAGCAGATTTGTCTGGCGTGACTTGTTTCTCTGTGATTATGGCATTCCTTTCCAAATGTTCACAGACTCTATGTTTAATGAACTGCTCTAGAATCTTTCCCAGTATTGATGTCAGACTAACTGGACAATAATTGTTGGGATTCTCTTTTTTACCCTTTTAGAAGATGGGGACAATGTTTGCCCTCCTCCAGTCTGCTGGGACTTCTCTTGTTCTCCAGGAGTTCTCAAAAATTATTGCCAATGGCTCCGAGATTACATTTGCCAATTCTTTTAATACCCTTGGATCCAGTTCATCTGATCCTGGAGACTTATATTCATTTAGATTAACCAGGTATTCCTGTACTACCTTTTTACTTATTCTGTGCTGCATTTCCCCTATTGTTTCCTCTGCTCCATTTTCCTCAGGCTGATCACCCTTTTCTTCCTTAGTCTTCCATCCTGGTTTCTTGAGACACCTCCCATTCTTTCTCCTCATTGCAACTGTTTTAAATTGTGCCTTCAGTATCTTCCTTTTGAGAAACTCCCATCCATCCTGCACTCCCCTCTCTTTTAGTATTCCTGACCACAGAACCACCCCCAGTATTTCCCTGAGTTTACTGAAATCAGTCTTTACATCAGTGAAGAAGTCCAGAACTAAAGTCTAGAATGCATGTCTGACAATGCCTGGCTTCTCCTTTCCACTGTATAACAAACTCCAGGAGAACATGATCATTTCCACCTAAGCATCCCACCACTTGCACCCAATTGACCAGGCCATCCCTTTTGGTTAGGATCAGATCTAAAATAGTGGATCCTCTTATTGCCTCTTCCACTTTTTGGACAATGAAATTGTCTTTCAAGTGAGGAATTTGATAGACCTTAAAGTTTTGGCTGAGTTTGACTTCCAGTAGGATAGTTGAAGTCACCCATCACTACTACATCTTTTCTTTTCTGAGTGTGTAGTCATCTGTTCTATAAAGGCATCATCTAATTCCTCCATATGACTTTGGGGTCTGTGGTAGACTCCAAAATAATATCCCTGTCGTTTCCCACCCCTTTAATTTTGGTCCAGATGCTCTCCACCTGGCTTTCAGGATTGAAGTTCTTCACTAGTGTAAATATCCCTGACATGTAATGCTATTCCTCCTCCTTTCCTCTATGGCCTATTTCTCTTAAAAGAGAAATTTTATACATGCTCTTATACACACTCTTTATACATGTCTTATACATACTCTTTACACATTATTTTAATTTTAATTTTTTGACGAAAAATTCTGCTTGAAGAATATCCATGTTGTTTTACAGTTATGGATAACTGTGTATAATTTGTGGTGAAATATATAATTGTCCTATAACTTACATCTATATAAGTGCTTTTGTTAATAAACAGAATCTTCTTTTTTCACATAATAAAGCTGGCAAAGTATGGTTTGTGGGGGAAATATTTAATGATAGAAATTGCATGCTGTGTCTAAGAGCCAATTGAACATTTTCCAATAAACTTTATTTTAACCCAAAACAGCTTTATTTGCAAATGTCTGTGTGATTTTAATTTAAAAAAAAACATAGCTATACCCCAAATTTGGTTGCTGAATCTTTTTTTGAAAATACTTACAAGATGTTTGCTTTCTTTATTAACAAAAAAAATCCATACAAAATTTATACAATATCATTTTGCAAAGTAATGTGGCTTTTCTTCCATCAGTGGGTCTTTATGATTAAAATTATAAAAAATTACTGATTCACCACAAGAGATAAATGAAAATAATTGTTTACCAGGCAACATGCTGATCCAGCAATTGACTCAGAATGTAGTAGTAGGCTTCTGTACGTAGATCTCTAACTCAGTGTACTGTATTTCACGTTGTGTTCCTAGGATCCCTTATTAGGCAATCAAGGAACATTATGTCTGTACCAGGACATATTTGGCATATATAAGCAATAAACAGTATGATCTTACTTCTCAGTGATGAGACAAAGCCAATCTGGTATTCATTTTTTAAACCTGGTCGAGTCTGGAGCCCTTCGTGAATAAGACCACTGAACATCCTGTGACTTAGGTCTGAGTAAACATGCCTCAGATGATACCATAAGGATTAGATTTCCAAATTCAGATTCTGAAAGGTCTACTGTACCTCTGAGTTATCCACAGAAAAGAAAGTGAAGTCAAATGCAGCAGCATTTATACCACTAGATCACTTAAATGCAGAAAGTATGAAAATCTTACAATACAAATCTCTACATACCTACATACACAAAAGTAAGTCACATAGAGTTCTAGTATATTACTCCCAGGTGAGTGTGCAAAGGACTGTAACCTTAAATGTTCCTAAGAGTGAGCTGAATTTGGGGATACCCATTTAGCTCTTTTTGACTTGTATCTCCTAGACATTGGCTTTGCTAGCTGGGCCTGCTGAGAGTTGCAGTCCAACAACATCTGGAGGACTGCAAAATTTTCTCCCATAATTTGTATCATGGGTAGGCAACTTGGCATCTTCCAGATGTTAGATTTGATCTTCCTCCATGTGTGACCACAGAATATGGCATATAGGGCTAATGGGAATTGCAGTTTAAAAAAAATCTGAGGCTATCTATTTGTGGTTTAGATACTCATTCTTCTGTGTAAAGTTGTGTTTGAAAATATAATAATACTATAATCACAAAGGGTATAGCATAAAGTTAATTATATCTGGAAGGCTATTGGAAACTAGCATTTGTAAGGTAGACAGAAGAGCATTTTTTTCAGAGGAATGTAATGAGGAATGGTAATTTCAGGACTTTTTCTCATTATGAAGAATCATGTAAACACATCCTCAGTTCTTCGGTGTAACTGAATGAATCTGTGATGGCAGGACAAGTCTGCTTCGCCTTTGCATACTCTTGAATTGATCTACTGTCTGTATTTCTATTCTATTTAATAGTGGTAGCTTCAGTTTATACCTGCAGGCATGTCATCTGTCTCCACTTTGTTTTGATGATGAATAACTGCATGTGCTCATTGATTGTTGTTGTTGTTAACTGCCTTTGCATCTCGACCCATGGCAACCCTATGGATGAGACATCTCCACCCCACCCCCCGTCCTCTACTGCTCTGCCCAGATCCTGCAATCACATATTTGTGGTCTCTTTAATAAAGTCCATCCATCTAGCATATGGCCTTCCTCTCTTTCTACTTCCCTCCATCTTTCCTAATATTATTGTCTTTTGCAACAATTCATGCCTTCTCATGATATGTCCAAAGTGCGACAGTCTAACTCCCTTTGCAGACAGAGCAAAGCGCCGTCTTCAATCCCAGGAAGGGGATGGGCAGCTGGACGCCAGGTGCCCCAATCCCTTCCTGAGGACTTCATTGGAGCGCCCGTCGTTGCACTGAGCCAGAAGAAATGCCTCTTGCAGCGCCCTTTCCACACCTTGTGGAAGGAGTGCTATTTTAGCTCCTTCCAGGGCCGGAAAAAGAGTGCATCAGGGCCAAGGTGTGCAGCAGCCTCGGCCCCAATCCATGGCTTCTCGGGGCAGCCCATGGCCACCTGTCTGCAGAGGCCTTAAGTCTTGTCATCTTGGCTTCTAGGGATATCTGTTGATCTGTTCTAGGGCCCATTTGTTTTTCCTTTTGGCTGTCCATGGGATCCTCAGCACTCTTCTCCAGCATCACATTTCAAAGGAGTTGATTTTCTTCCTATCATCTTTCTTAGCTATCCAGCTCTCACATCCATACATGGTAATAGGGAATACAATGGTTTGTATAATTCTGACTTTTGTGCCGAGTTGTATGCCTTTGCATTTTAGGATATTTTCTATTTCTTTCATAGCTGC